CCCCCCTTTTGCATCCTGCCCCCACTGTCCTTTTTTTTTTTTTTAAACTAAAATATGGTCACCCTATTATAAATATACTTAATTATTATGAAAATACCAGATGGCTTGAATAACACCGATAAACTATGTTGTCGCAGTCGAGTGTTTATTGTCTTTGTTTTGTCATTCAAAATGTGTATATGTTCTGTTTACTCCGTTAACGTTCAGCTATAATAGCGATGCCTTTGTCCATATAAGGGATTTCCTGGAGAGTCATGAGCTCTCTACTTCTGTGACTGTGGATTTTCTGTGCGAGGGCGCCCTCTGGCGTCCAGTATGAATGAAACAGACATCATGTGTTTATAGTGCTAATGGACAATCCATCATTTTTTGGGGAATTTTTATTTTTTTAATAAGTATCAGTTCAGGCACTGTTTAGGCACCAGAACCGTTTTAAAAGTATCAATTTGGCACCGGTATCGAAAAAACCCCCAAACGATACCCAACCCTAGTGTTAATACTCACCTCTTCGCTCGTGAGAGACACAATATGTTCAGAGTAGCATCCCATCCCAGTCTTAATGGTAACGATCCAATCTGGTTTTGATATGTGTAGCTGAGTCTTGGGGCTGGATGGATTGGATGTTGCCCACTCTTCTGGTGTGGCTGTTGAACGGTGTTCTGGTCGCTGGAGTTTTGATCCGCCTGCTCGTGTATGGAGAACCTGTGACCAGACCCCACTCAGAATCATCCGTCCTCTTCTGGAGACACCGCAAGCAGGCCGATCTGGATCTAGCCAGGGTATAAACCGCTTTCTTGCACTCATCTGTGATTGCTCTGGAGGTCAGATTTCACCGACACATCTGATAGCCGTTTCTCTAATGTTTTTCTGCAGGGAGACTTTGCTCAGGCCTCTCAGAACCTCTGGACGTGCCTCAAAGCTCTTGGTCGTCCTCTGCCCACGTCTCAGCTGGACCTGACCTGTGCGGTTCTGTGGTCCGCCCTGCGTCTGTGTCTGCAGAGGCTGTGGGTGGGCCGCTGGCTAGCCATCCGTGCCGGAGTCCTCCGTTCCAACCGCCCCCTACAGGAAGATGCCCGCAAGAGCTGCCGCGATGCCGCCTTGGTCTACCACCGTCTACACCAACTCCACATGACCGGTAAGTCACTGTAGCATATAGAGGAATCAGGCAAACTTGTGAAGAGCAACTGTTAGGCCGCCTTTTTACTGTCTCTGGCATTCACATACGACTGTCGGATTTCGCCCATTAGTTCAACATAGTAAAACTAATAATGAATGCATGCATATATCCACACAAGCATATGACGGCATAAATTGAGATTTATGCATCATCTGAAAGCTGAATAAATAAGCTTTCCATTGATGTATGGTTTGTTAGGATCGGACAATATTTGGACGAGATACAACTATTTGAAAATCTGGAATCTGAGGGTGCAAAATAAATCTAAATATTGAGAAAATCATCTTTAAAGTTGTCCAAATGAAGTTCTTAGCAATGCATATTACTAATCAAAAATTAAGTTTTGATATATTTACGGTAGGAAATTTACAAAATATCTTCATGGAACATGATCTTTACTTAATATCCTAATGATTTTTGGCATAAAAGAAAAATCGATAATTTTGAGCCATACAATGTATTGTTGGCTATTGCTACAAATATACCCCAGCGACTTAAGACTGCGTTTGTGCTCCAGGGTCACATATGTTTGAAAAAAAAGTGTGTTTTTCTAGGGCTAATAAATGTAAATATTCATTTAACAACACATGATAAATCTTCTAGCCATTCGTCGTATTTGCTCATGATGTTGATCGGTGTGCAGGCAAGCTCGGCGGAAGCCACCTCTCTGCGATCCACATGGCGCTGAGCGCTCTCAACCTGGCCGAGTGTGCAGGAGACTGTCTCCCCATTGCCACACTGGCTGAAATCTATGTGTCTGCAGCCCTCCGGGTTAAAACCAGCCTGCCCCGCCTGCTTCACTTCACTACTGTTAGTACACATACATGCACACTCGCAGTCCTGTTCCACAGCCCAGTGCGCTGCTCTGCTGTCTACCGCATGCAAATCTTGTCTGAAATGGAGCCTCAAAAGCGACTGCACATGGGCAGCAACTGACAGTTAAGCCCTACGTATATGTCAGTTTTTACATGCACGCTAAGATGTGTTTACAGTGCACCTGACATAAATTTCATCGTTATTAAGCTAACAGCATGATACTCTAAATAAGCATTAAAATGCATAGTACACATTAATATTTGGTGAAATAGTCCATTTGCATTATCGAATGAATTTTACTTTCTCTCACCTGGTCTTGGATTTATTTTTCCTTGTCGTAGTGCATTCTGGGATTGGATTTTGTGCCAAGGATGCATGCAGTGCTGCCTTAGACTTTGGCCAAAACGAGATATCTTAGACTTAGACTTGGCGACAGTAGTGCATGTGTGACACTTAAAATGCTGCCTTGGTAGGGCGCTCACTAGGTTTTGGAACAGCATCAGAATCTCTCTTTTCATCCAGTACAGTTATTTAAATGGCACTTGCTTTCATATTTGTTTGATGGTGTGTCCATATTTTGTTTGTGTGCTGCATATGGTAAGTGGAGATATGACTTTGGATTTTTCTGTCCTGCAGCGAGTGTTCTTGAGCAGCGCTCGGCAAGCCTGTCTCTCGCCCAGTGGCAGCGTCCCTCCTGCCATGCAATGGTTGTGTCACCCGCTGGGTCATCGTTTCTTTGTGGATGAGGACTGGTCCATACGCAGCACCCCTAAAGAGAGCATCTACAGCCAGGCAGGGAACTCAGGTCAGCACCATACAGAGAAAATCAGGCTGAAGGGATCCGTTTTTATTGTGTTGTGTGTTTATGAATGTGCTGCTGATGATGATTCGCTGGTCTCGGCTTTGTGTCTGTCTGCAGTTGACCCGCTGGCTCAGGTGACCCAGGCGTTCCGCGAGCATCTGTTGGAAAAGGCCCTCTACTGTGTGGCACAGCCGCGAGGCAACAAGAACCTCACTGATGGAGATGGGTGGGTGATCTTTCCCAATGCTGCTTTACACACAATCTCATCTAGGCTTCTACATCTTGATGTCTGATTTCACTGGAAGCATGTGAAATTCTTCATTAGAGGTTAAGTGTGAACATGGTTTGGGGGAAAAAATACAGGCAAAATAGTACAGATTTATAATATCAGTAATGGCCAAATACACTGATACATCAGTAAATAAGTGTATTCACTCCAAAAACATTAAATGGAAGTTAATTTTAATGTGTGCCCAAATATGATTCTTATATTACATCCGAAAGCTATATCAGTCTACCTCTGTTGAAGGGAAAAAATGCCAAATTTACTCTAGCTTAAATGCCAGTTTACTAAAATTAGTTTTTTAAAACACATTTATGGTTTAATATTTAAATGCACAAAATTAAAAACAAACATATTATAACTACTAATATTTTTTTATCTTATAGTTTTCAATTACAAAAAACAAAAACAAAACAAAAAACACTGCCGTTCAAAAGTTTGGGGTCCGTACGTTTTTTTTTTTTTTCCTCTCTCTCTTTTCTCACCCCAAAACTTTCATGCATTAAATGATCAAAAATGACAGTAAAGACTTTTATCATGTTACAGAAGTTTCTATTTCAAATAAATGCTGTTCTTTTGAACTTTCAATTAATCAGAGACTCCTGAAATATCTGTCTGTCTGTCTGTCTGTCTGTATCTGTCTATTTGTCTGTCTGTCTGTCTGTATCTGTCTATCTGTCTGTCTATCTATCTATCTGTCTGTCTGTCTGTCTGTATCTGTCTGTCTGTCTATCTATCTGTCTGTTTATCTGTCTATCTGTCTGTATATCTGTATATCTGTCTGTCTGTCTATCTGTCTTATCTGTCTGTATCTGTCTGTCTATCTATCTGTATCTGTCTGTGTCTGTCTGTCTGTGTCTGTCTGTATCTGTCTGTCTATCTGTCTGTGTCTGTCTGTCTGTCTGTCTGTATCTGTCTGTCTGTCTGTCTGTCTGTCTGTCTGTCTGTCTATCTATCTGTCTGTTTATCTGTCTATCTGTCTGTATATCTGTATATCTGTCTGTCTGTCTATCTGTCTTATCTGTCTGTATCTGTCTGTCTATCTATCTGTATCTGTCTGTGTCTGTCTGTCTGTGTCTGTCTGTATATCTGTCTGTGTCTGTATCTATCTGTCTTATCTATCTATCTATCTGTCTGTCTATCTGTCTATCTGTCTATCTATCTATCTATCTATCTGTCTGTCTGTCTGTATATCTGTATATCTGTCTGTATATCTGTCTGTCTGTATATCTGTTTGTCTGTCTGTATCTATCTATCTGTCTATCTATCTATCTGTCTATCTATCTATCTGTCTGTTTATCTATGTATCTATCTATCTATCTATCTATCTGTCTGTCTGTCTGTCTGTATCTGTCTGTCTGTCTGTCTGTATCTGTCTGTCTGTCTGTATCTGTCTGTCTGACTGTCTGTCTGTCTGTCTGACTGTCTATTTTTCTGACTGTCTGTCTGTCTGCCTGCCTGTCTATCTGTCTGTCTGTATCTGTCTGTCTGTCTATCTTTCTGTCTGTCTGTCTGTCTTATCTGTCTGTCTGTCAATCTGTCTGTCAATCTGTCTGTCTATATATCTGTCTGTGTCTAGCTGTCTGTCTGTGTCTATCTATCTGTCTGTCTGTATCTGTCTGTCTATGTGTCTGTCTGTCTGTATCTGTCTGTCTATCTGTCTGTCTGTCTGTCTGTGTCTGTCTGTGTCTGTCTATCTGTCTGTATATCTGTCTATCTGTCTGTCTATCTGTATCTGTCTGTCTGTATCTGTCTGTCTGTCTGTCCGTCTGTGTCTGTCTGTCTGTATCTGTCTGTCTGTCTATCTGTCTGACTGTCTATTTTTCTGACTGTCAGTCTGTCTGTCTGTATCTGTCTGTCAATCTGTCTGTCTATCTTTCTGTCTGTCTATCTTTCTGTCTGTCTGTCTGTCTGTCTGTCTATCTGTCTGTCAATCTGTCTGTCTATATATCTGTCTGTGTCTATCTCTCTGTCTCTGTCTATCTATCTGTCTGTCTATCTGTCTGTCTGTCTGTCTGTCTATCTGTCTGTCTGTCTGTCTGTATCTGTCTGTCTGTATCTGTCTGTCTATCTGTCTGTCTGTGTCTATCTATCTGTCTGTCTGTCTGTCTGTCTGAATTACATAAATTCAGTTTTAGTGAACATAATAGACTTCTTTGAAAAACTTAAATAAATAAAATCAAACTGGCCCCAAACTTTTGAACAGTACTGTATTTTTAACAATAATATAATTTTTAAACAAAAGCTAAATCTTCTATATAAATCTAAATGTTAACTGAAAATGCACACTTACTATGTAAATGAGTGGTTCCTTTACTGGTGTTAGTAGTATGGGTCCATCAGTGCTACAGATAGCAGAGTGTTTAGGTGAAATCTGGCCTAATTGGACAGATTTTTGCTGCCAAGCTTTTATGACACTTTATTTTACATACGCTTTGCTTTTGAATCACTTAGTTTTTATAGTGATTGGGGTGCTAATCTGAGTTGTGTGTGTGTGTGTGTTTTGACAGTGAATACTCAGACTCTCTGGAATACCTGCAGTTACTCACCAGCGCCTCAGACGCAGCAGGAGCCACAACACAGTCCTTCGCCATCGGATCAAACATGGCCACCGTTACAGGTCAGCCCTCAATCCACTTCTGCTTTGACCCCGAGTGTTGTTTTGGGGACTCCTGGGTCATATGATGGATTTCAGAGAATAGCATTTCAGGCGAGTCACCGCAGAGAGGGTGGCCACTGCTGGGCTGTGTATGTACAGCTCAAATAAGTTTTTCTGTTCAGGTCAGCACTTTTCACATCACACTGCGTTCATCTCGGCATGTTTTCATTCAAGCAGATGTTAGTCAGGGGGAATGAAGGACAGACACTTCATGAGTGTGAGTGTGTGTGTGTGTGATCACCACTGTGTCCTTGACCTCCAGGATGTGACCCTCACTCGAAATGGTGGTCGTCGGTTGCCGTGGTGATCATTAATTGGCTCCAGGGAGATGATGTGGCGGCAGAGAGATTGTACCCAGCGGTGGAGCACTTGCCCCACAGCCTTCAGACCGCTGAGTGAGTAACATGTGACAGTCTACAGGAAACACACGCCATTTTTACTTTAAAAAATGTGACCCTGGACCACAAAACAAGGGTCAATTTCTTAAAATTGAGATTTATGCATCATCTGAAAGCGGAATAAATAAGCTTTCCATTGATGTATGGTTTGTTATGATAGGACAATATTTGGTTGAGATACAACTATTTGAAAATCTGGAATCTGAGGGTGCACAAAAATCTAAATATTGAGAAAATCATCTTTAAAGTTGTTCAAATGAAGTTCTTAGCAATGCATATTACTAATCATAAATTAAGTTTTGATATATTTATGGCAGGGAATTTACAAAATATCCTCATGGAACATGATCTTTACTTAATATCCGAATGATTTTTGGCATAAAAGAAAAATCTATAATTTTGACCCATACAATGTAACAATATGTAAATATTGTTGAAAAATAACAAAAAAAAAGTTTATTGTTAAAAAACAATGAAAAATAACATAAGTGGGTTTTAACTGTATTTTGCATAAAATAAAATAACTTAAT